TATTCGGACATATAATATGTAAAAATATAAAAGTACCTTGCACTTCAAAATTAATTCACAATCCTCATTTACACTCCAGGACAAGAATTCCTGGAAATAAGGACCTTGGAAAACAAAACAAATGATTATCCATCCATACTGATCATTTAATTTATTCAAAACACATAATTCATAACAGTATGTTCAGTACACGCACAGTGGTAGGTCTGAAATATGAATTATGGTATGATTTAATCAGGAAACATACTGCAGGATAGATTTCCCCAGCTGGTTTTTCTTTTATAGCTTAGTATTCTGCTTGTAATAGACAGAATGACTTCTGTGGACTTTGGGTCTCACGTGGACTTTGAATAGTGGATTTGATTTGAGATATTCTGTTTACACAAGCAGACACTGGGACATTGGCCTCTACACACAAAAGAGTTTTAGAGCAGCACCTCTCGTATCAGGTCTCAGAGCTCAGGTGATGAAAACAGAGAATTCAGCGGCACAGAAAGCTTCATGTCTCTCTCTATGCAACTCTCCAATATGTTTCATCAATACAGCGATTATGAACGCCTGTTGCAACTATTAGCTTTTACCTTGGAATGAGATAAAAAGTCTTTTAAAGCAACAAGGCATCACTGAATGAATAAGAGCAGTTCACAAAGACATTTCTCAGCATTAGGTCAAACAGTCATCATAGAATATCTGCGCCACTGGCTGTCGTGCTGGTCCTTGATTGTTGGCTCTGATTGCATTAGTTGTTTTTGACGTGTGGAAGATTTCTTACCAGTCTTCCTCTTGTTGTCATGTCGGATTGCATCAGCCAAGGCCAGCATCTCACGAAACTCTGACAGAGACACAGACAGCGTCAGACTGAGTGCAAGAATGAACCCAAACAAGATCGAAATGACATTTAATCAGCTGAGAAGTGATCTCAACCTTTATCAATATAGACACACATGGCACACATCAGCAAATAAAATCCAATTTTTACATCTAAGCACTATTAAATAAATCACCTAAAGCTGCACGAAACAATATCAGCAGACATGTTTTCGAATGCTCTTTTGCATCACCACCCTTTCAGATCACAGCACGTCAATTTCTCTCCACAACCAACACGTTCAACAAGTTTTCCATTTTCTGTTCCACTTCTCGATGACCTGCGCATGAGGGTAAAACTCACTGAGTGGGGGTGTGGTGTAAAAGTGAAGAGAAAATCTGGAATAAACAGTTCCCATGAACTTTTTTGAGCTTTTTATTTTTGCATTGCAAATAATATAAGTTATCTGAGATTTTACTTTTGTATTATTGTTGAATGTTTTTCACCCTTTTATGTGTGTTTCCGTGTTTCTAAATTATTAAGGGAGGGAGATGTATTTTAGTTAAGGCTGCATTTTGTTTTTTTTTGCAGTAGCGTGTTTATTTATTCACTATGTACCTTTTGTGACATGCCTGCTTTTCTGTGCAGCTCCTCCTTGTTTATCGGTTCTCAGATTTAGCACTTGTCACTTACTATGAGAGAATGACTTACTTTTATCCACAAAGACCAAAGTGAACTGGTTCTTGGCGCGGCCGTCTCTCAGCTGTGCCGTGTACGAGCCCTCATCCTCCTGAGAGAGCTGATCAAACAGTATCTCCACCAAACCTTTGGCCTTGTCAAAGTTGATCTTGCGGTGCTGCAGAAAAGCAAACAAATGTTGCCACACATACAGCACACCCATCAGCTCAGATGATCCCAGATGGCAGGTGGACATGCTGCTTGCAACTGCCCTATAGATGGCTCCTCGTACAGAGAGAATACATCATGAAACAGTCACATAAAAGCATCTGAAATGCCATGTGCACGCTGAAGATGAAATACTTCTTCTTCTTTTTTTCTATAACACATGCAAACACGCAAACAAACAGTGACACAGAGAAAACAGCCTTTGAGCTCATTTTCACGGCTTTTATGCTCATCAAGATAAGTGTATGCCTTGCATGTTGATAGGCCTCAGTGGTGGATGTGATTTGTGATGTATGGCAAGCCTAAGGGCCCTAATCAGCTAAATGGCTTTTGAATTCACAAACCTCAGCTGTGATCATTTAGAAATAATGTGTAATCAGTGCTGTTCAGATGGAACTCTGATATTGGGAAATAATGGAATAAATGAAAATGAAATACAAGCGATAAATGGAAGCTGCTGAATATAAAGCAGCGGCAAACAAACCGGGGCAAAGAAAATGTAGCCGACAGAGTTGTGAAACCGCAATAAATATGCTGCCTTGTATTTGTTTTTCTCTCTGTGCACACATCAATGCACGGTTCAATAACTACAATGGCAGCACTGATTATTCTGTGCTCAGTGTCACAACACATATAAGTTTGTTCACATTCAGTTTATGTTCCTTTATGATTATAATGTTTCTTTATTTTAGGCGATCTGACTTTGAATTGCACTTTTACATTTTCCATATTTGGTCTCTCGTTACATTACATTACAGTAACATTACATCAGTTTATCAATAATAGGGTAAGGATCTTTTTGAAATAGCTTTTTTGCTTCCTTGTTTTTGTTGCAAATAGTTACTGAGACAGAAATTTTCTTTCTTTCTTTTTAAACCCTGACCCTTATGTGACATAAGGTCCAGGCCTCCACGACCCTGGATGGATAAATAGTTAAAAAAATGGATGTGTGTGGATATACACTATCTGTGCACTTTATTAACTGGACCTTGCCAGTGTGTGGTTGTGCTCATTTTCACCTTCAGAACTACCTTGATTCTTCATAGCATAGACTCAACAATATTTTGTAGACATTCCTCAGAGATTTTGGTCCATATTGCCATGATAGCATAACGCAGTTGCTGCAGATTTGTTGGCGACACATCCATGATGTAAATCTCCTATTCCATCACATTCCAAAGGTGCTCTATTGGCTTGAGCTCTGGTGACTGGGAGGTCATTTAAGTACAGAGAAGTCATGTTCATGTTTAAGAAAAAGCTTGAGATAAAGAGAGAACTGCTGAAAAGAGCCATAAGAGGATACTGCTGTCATAAGGGAAGGACATGGCCAACAAGTGTTCTTAGGTAGGCTGTGGTGTACCAAGTGGTTGTTTTAGCTACTGTTGCCTTCCTATCAGCTCAAAGCAGTGTGGCCATTCTCCTCTGACCTCTGTTATCGACAAGTATTTAGTCTAGAGAACAGGCGCTCACTGATATTTTCTCTTTTTTGGACTATTCGCTGTAAACCTTAGAGATGGTTGCACAGAAAACTTCCAGTAAATCAGCAGTTTCTGAAATACTCAAATCAGCCTGCCTGGCACCAACAACCATGGCCACATTCTAAGTCACTTAATGTCCTCGGGATTCCCATACGCTTGTTTGCCATATACCTGGGGTCATTTTTGACCCGAGAACAACACAAGGGTTTTAAATCACCTTTCTTCATCAGTCTGATGCTCAGTTTGAACTTCTGCAGGTTTTCTTGACCGTGTCTACAGGCCTAAAGCCAGTATATTGCTGCCATGTGATTGGCTGATTAGATATTTGCATTAATGGACAGGTGAGTCTAATCAATTGTCGGGTGAGTGTAATATATTTCAACTAGTTGTGTCATAGGAAGGAAAAAGGAAAATTTTTCTTAATATACCAGATTTCAAAATTTCAAAGAGCTATTTCTTCTTGCACTAGAAGGTAACATTAGTTTATGTTAATGTTTTAACTATAGATTTACTACCCTAAATTATATTTTCCTGAAGAACATTGTCCAAATTTGTTTCATGTGCCTTGCACAGATGTTGGCTCTTTCCCCCACATTCACCTGAGCTGATCTTTCTCCTAGACTATGTAAAATAACCCGTCTGTAGCCGCGCACACCTGCTCTTCATCTTTGCTGATAGCCTCACCCTCCTGCATCTCAGGATGTTCGTTTAAACAGTAATTGCTGTTTTGAATTCACACTGACTTGTCATAAACACAGATGCTTGCACCTACACCTGATTATTTCCGCCCGGTAGGGTTTCATGACATCTGCAAATTTCCCACGTCGTGAGCATGAAAGGGGGGAATTTTCAGCAAGCTTTGATGTCACTACCTGGGGATTAGAATGTATTCTATATTACATAGCAGAAACGGAAAGCTGTAAATCTGGTTTGTGGCCACTTGAAGAATTTGAAAGTGTGAACAAGCATGTCTGTACAGCATCACAGATCATCACAGATAACCCTTAATTTAAACCATGACCAAATTACTGTGTAATTAGTGACGTGTTGTAGCATTTCATTGTAGTTTGTTTCACACGCCCAGAAATTTGGAACCAAATCATTCAAAAATCTCATGACAACACTGAGCTTTTAGTCAAACCGTCCAAAAAACTCCTTCCTTTTCCCAATCACGTCTTGATCCTGATTGAAAATGTCATGAGGTGTGTCAACAAAGATGCAAAAAAAATTGAAGGACTTCACAGAAGAGTCTTGAATGTGCAGAGAATCCAACTGCACTTAGACTGGACTTCATTTCTAATCTGGGTCTGCTGTGTTGAAATGACAACACCCAGAAGACGGACTACAAAAAAGCTCATCTTTGATACTTTGCCCCATATGCTCTTCTTACCATATTGAGTTATGCAGGCTACATAAATGTAGACAAGCCAGTGAAAAAAACCTTCAAGAAATTTTAAGAATTGCTGCTGTCCACTCCATTTTCTCCACCCGCTAAAAACACAAGCTGATTTACTTTCTTCCCAGTTTTTCTTCTCTTCGCTTTCATCATCTGTAGCTAATTACCTTTCTTAACAGATCACTAATCTAAATGTTCACACACAGCAGCGACTTCATCACAAGCACATTTTGATAAAGAAGCTTAACCTTCATAGTTTGCCTGTCGTTTTAACAAATTGTAGAAAGTTCAGAACATATCAGCAGATTTGTTAGTTGCATGTGTCTTCCTGCACTGCCAGACTGTGCATTCCTTTGGATTACGGGACACCGATATCTTTTCTTTCATAAAGGATGAAGCACCTTATTTGTGATGACCTCCTATTATGGCTTTCATGCAAATATTTCCAAGTCACTTCACTCAAATAAGATGTTTCCTAGACAAACAAGATCACAAGTGACCTCTACTCACTCATTTCGGCAGACTGTCAAACTGAATTCCTCAGATATTGATGTGGGCTGGCCCAAAACTAACCTGGCGCAGGTGATATAAACTGCAGTTCAACACTAATAGAGTAACCTTCAGCAGCTTAAAAAATGGCCCATTGGCAGATCATTACATTAACAACGCTTAACCATTTAAAGGTCAGCAATGGTAGTATTTCTCAGGGTTTGTGAACTCCTCAACTCTCAAATTGGCAAGGACACAGGATAACCAGATCAGTGGCTCTTACCGGCGTGCTGGAGATTTCCCGGTCATTGAAGATTAGACGGAGCTCAGCTGCATTACTCAGACTCTCAGTTTGAAGCCAAAGCCGTACACTGCCTTTCTCAGAAACCTCCACCTGCCAGGCTGACTTCAGTGCAATCACTGCCAAAGATAAATTAAAGGCAGATTAAGTGATCAGTATGTCATGAATAAAAACTAATAACACTAATTCCGGTGATTAAAATAAGCTGATAGCACAATGTGAGCTCTTCCTCATATATTATAATGTCTTAGCAGTACGTACACGGGTTTCTGACTTGCCAACTGAGTTCTTTGAGCCGTTCAAGATCTGAAAAAAAAAAAGCCAAAAAAAAACTCAAGGTTAATTATAGTTTGATCTGAACACGGGTTACATAATGCAGTTGTATTGTCAAAGTACTAGTGAATAGTGCAATAGTTGAAGATCAAGATCGATTGAGAACATCTGCTTTGCTGGGCGAGTAACCTTGTGGAAGCGGCTGTGAGCAGAATAATTACTCGCTTGCGAGAAAAGCTTGATAAAGCTTAAAATTAAAGGCTCAGTATATTCCTGCTGCCGTCAGCTTGCCTCCACCAGCGTGTGAATGTGAGAGTGAATATATAGTGGCATTGTAAAGCGCTTTGGGTGCCTTGAAAAGCGCTATATAAATCCAATCCATTAGCTTCTTCAGTAACGCAAGAGACAACTGAACATTTTTCATTCTGATGAGCGTTACATTTAGAAAGGGGCAAGGGGTGCTCGCAAGTTTACCACTTTACCTTCAGCTGTGAAATCGTAGCTGGACGACTGCTGGGGGTTGTCGCTCATGTTCACCGTGTAGAGACCCAGATCCTCCTCAGAGGGGTCTGTGAAGGTGAGGACTGACCTGACAGACAATGAAAAACAAACAGATGCATGTACAGAGATGCTGAAGCTGTCTTATTCCACCACATCTCAAACACGCGCTATTGAACTGAGCTCTGGTGAATGAGATGATTTGAGCTTTGTGACATGGCGTGATGTCCTACTGAAAGCAGCTATCAGAAGATGGGTGGGCTTATGCTGTTCATGCCAAATTCTGACCCACCATCTGTATATCGCAGCAGTAATCCAGCCTCATCAGACCAACACTGTTTCATAATCTTCTGTCTTCCAATGTTGAGCCCGTGTGAGTCCCGACCTCAGTTTCCTATTCTCACGAGTGGCACCTGGTGTGGTCTTCTCCTACTTGAAGCCTATCTGGTTCAAGTCTCGTGGTGTTGTGTGTACAGCGATGCTCTTTTTTATACCTCGGTTGTATCACGTAGTTATTTGAATATGAAACTGAAATGCACCGAGTCTTTTTTTTTTTTTACCTTTTTTAACTTCAAACACAGTTTCCCGTTCATAAATGCTGTTGAAAAAATAATGATTGCTCCACATTGCACATGAAAAACCTACCTATTTGTCTTGGTTTCTGCTCTCACTCTCCCAGCACCAATTGGGTCTGTGTAATTTTTGCTCCAGAGGAATTTGCTCTCATCATTCATCTCAGCAGCTTCGTATCCCAAAAATATGAAGCCATCATCATCCACACCAATCTCAATGTTTTTGGTGCCTGAGAAAGAGAAGCCTGCTTAGAATGGGTCATGTATTTCACTTTATTCTACAGTGCTTCTGGTGTTGTAGCAGCATACCACTATATAAGTAATAGTCCATTTAGTGGCACCAAATTGAACATAGTGCATATGCTGGATAGTGCATATTTTTCACTGCTTGGGTGTACAACACTATCCAAAAGTCTTGGTCCATTCCTCATTTATATTTTGCAAGGAAAATGAGAAATAAGGGCATGAATGTATTGAAATGTGTGAATATAAATGGAAACACATTAGATAAGGCAAAAGTTTGTGCTATTTCAAGAAGCCTGAAAAATCAATGTTTATTCTCTTTTAAGCAAGCTTTAGTGTGCTTCTTTAAGTGGACTTCAGGAATACTTCTACAGTGACATTCAAAGCTCTTTTTTGGATGTTGGCTGCCTTTTGATGATCCCACACTGCTTCAATAATGTCCGGGTCGGGGCTGTGGGAGGGCTGATCCATGACTGATAGTGTTCCACTGTGTGTTTTCCTGTCCAGGTGTGCTTTCACAGCATTGGCATTCTGTTCGGGATCATTGTCATGCTGAAAAAAATTAAGCTATTGCCAATCAGACACTCCATGGTGGCTCCAAAGTGCAGTGATTTACACATTAGCCTAACAAATGAAAAATCACAGTTGGAATTTGGGACGAGACATACATCCCTTGGGGGTTCCATCACGAAGGACATCTGGCATAAAAATCTGTCAAACAAAATATGTTTAGCTACTTGCTGTGGCAACCCCATGAGCATAAGAGAGCAGCTGAGAGTAGCTTACCACTAAAATCCATCAAAATCTATAATTTTAGTGGATCAAAATCTGGCGTGATGTGAATCAAATTTGACAAGCTCTTGGCACGTCTCAGTCTTTTCTCCCTGTTTTCTGTCTTTAAAAATGAGTTCTGACAGCCACTCTTTCATGGAGTAATTTCTGAAAAGGATCAAATGAAAGGGTGGATCTATCTCTCCGGCCGTGTCAGGTCTTTGCTGGACTTTTCTAATTTTTTAAGGACATAATTGTCATATACTGTCCTTCCACAAAGCCTTAGAGCTACAGCTCAAGTCTACTTAAACAAATTACAAGGAACTCTGACTCTGTGTAAAGTACTGCATGTTTTACTGGATATAAAATGAAAATAAAATGTAGTTTTATTGATTTCTTTTTAGGAAATCCACTTGTTTGCTTTGTTGTATAGAGCTAAAGCTGTTCCTGTTTCCTGTGTTTATGCTAAGCTGGGTTAACCATCTCCTGACTCCTCCTTCATATCTGACAGACGAATTTGAGATTTTTGTTAAGATCTTCTTTAGTCTTCTCATTTAATGCATATAACCTTTTGTTTGTTTTTAAAAACTCAACAAAGTTTATTATTACATACACATAGGAATTTTAATTTGTATAGTTTGTCTAGAAGCTTACCTGGTTGTGTCTGAGCTATCACTGGCTCAGAGGGCAGAGAGGCATGACCCACGCCAGCCTCATTGATAGCCGACACACGGAAACGATAGGTCTCACCCATCTGAAGTGCCGACACCTGGATGCCATTAGAAACACATCAAATATTTAACAGTCACTGTCATAATTCATCACAATCATTTAAACATTTTTACCCCCAGACTCACAAAGTAATGAAATTCTGGTATGGAGGTCAGAGATCATTTTTTCACTGATAACAATCCAGTCATAGGCTAAACCACACCGTCACCTGATTAAATTTTGAATATGCTTATACTTCGCTCACCTTGTAATGCGTGTCAGAAATAGTTTTTTCACTCAGAGCAGTCCAGTTCTCTGATTGGTCACCCTGGCTGATTTCGAGCAAATAGCCAGTGACGGGGCTTCGTCCTTCATACAGCGGAGCAGCCCATAAGAGCACCAGGGAGCCGTTTCTCACCTCCCTGATCTCCAGGTCGTAGGGGCAGCCTGAGAAAGAGGAGAACAGATCATGGACTTTGAACGCAGGGCAACAATGTGAGGCCAGAAAAGTTCGGTAAAAGTGCACAGACACAAAAACAGCATGTCTTTGTCACAGTGGAAAGTCATTACCGAGCAAACTATAAATAACAATAAAGTCAAAATGAGTACAATGACTTTCCTTAATCTACCCCGACTGACTTCATCCCAGAATGTGGTAGCTAATTTGCTTAATGATTTTGGGTCACTTTTAAATCATTAATGGCACAGAGGAAAGCCCATTTGCCAAGATTAACGAGCTGCGCTTTAAAAGTGGCACATTTGAGAGAGCCTTTTTCCATTTTCAATATTAATGGCATACAAAGCTGATATGAGCAGAGTCAGAGTGGCTGGGATATCTACTGAGCCTCGACTCTGGACTCTAGGTAACCTAAAGGGAATGCCTGGAGACACCGCACAGGGCTGAAAATGCATCTTTCCTGCATTAAGTGTAGCCAGCAGGCTTCAGATTGCTCTAAAAACATTTTCTACTCTTGAAATTGTTTTATTGCATTGAGAATAATCATTTCAGGCCTGCACGCACCACAGCTGTTAAATGTCCAAGCATTTATTTGGAAGGGGCAGCCAATCACAAGACTGAAAGGAAGCTGAGTTGGCCTGTTTCAGATGGAGGATAAACTGAGAGGCAGCATCAAGTACAAGATAAGTGTTATTTTGAATCATGCAAAGCTGATGGTAGAGTCTACCATCAGCTTTAAATAGGCCTGTGGGTGACACATCAGTCTAACGTCAATCAAAAGTAAGAAAACAAGAAAATTATTATTTATTGTTACTCCATTAACAATGAGTCAAAATATAAAGCTAAAACTTTAAGTGGTTTAATTTAACAAAAATATAGATACTACATTATTTCCATCATTAGTCATTTATTGCTTCAGTGACTTTTTCTTACTTTTTCTGTAGTGTTTTCAGTGTCTTGCTTTGGGATACCAAAAACCATCCATAGCAATATTTGAGCACAAGCCACAGATGATAAACACATAATGAATTCCACTAACTGAATCTAACCACAGGCTGTTTTTGTAGATACTGTGTTTTCACTTAACCACTGACCTCTGCTATTATTCTGCGCTTTAATGGCACAATATGCAAATAAGGACATTTTATTCTGAAACCAAAATATGTATGTATGTGTGGTGATCACACACACACACACACTTCCACTGATTTATATAAATGGGCGCTCAAGTTGATGGATGGTCTCAGATGGTCACAGGAGCTGGGGTCAACAAACAGAGGAAGCTGAATGCCAGGAGGGTACTGATGGAGGCACATAGCTCAGGGGATAAAACAGTTTTGTGTATAAATGTAACAGACAACTTTTAATATTTAAGTTCTTACAGTTACAGTGCAACATGCAAATTACATTGTGGAAAGTGAACATAGATTTGAGCACTGATCAAAAGCTTTTGTTAACATTTTCATATAAACAGAGTTATTTATTTCAGTAAGCTGGATCCTCTTTAAAATAAATAAAGAATATATTTTATTCATAACAAAGACAGGTCCAAAAAGCTTCTAATAGCTGTAGTTCCACTAATGGATTCAAAAGTGACTCAGTCCCCATTGACTCCCATGTTGAGATGCCTGACTTCAGAGATAAAATCAACATGTTTACAGACTGCTGAAAAACATGACATGGTTACAGTTAATTTCCAGTTATTCAATAATACAGTTTATTTAAAACAGTTATTTCAAAAATAATTTATGGTCAACCTTTGCACTGTATCCCAATATAAATGGTATTATATGAAAAAGGGTCACTAACTATATGTGTTGTGATGGAAGAAGTGTTTAGGGTCTTTAATTAAGTTAGGGGTGTATTGTTCAATGGGCTAATTCATGCGTGAAAGGGTTGCTCACATAAATAAACCAGCAATAAGCAAAACAAAGTGCAGAATTGATGATTTAAACATTTAAGTCCTTTAAAAGTAAAGCATGCATAATGGAAATTTAATTTCACCTGGCTCTGGCATCGTCCACTTCTCACATAGGAAAGCTTCACTGGGTTCAGACGGTTTCCCGATGCCGACCATGTTGGCAGCAAACACATGGAATTGGTAGAAATGTCCGCTTGTCAGGTTGCAAACCTGCAGAAACATTTACAGTACACTTTACAATGCACCTGTGTCTTGGGGTAATAGAGTGATGAAATCCCCCCCAGATATTAAATATTGCTATTCGTTTATGGCACCTTATTATAATACTGAGTTGTAATATTACTCAGATCTTCCCAATTGTTAAAGCAAAGCTGTTCCCTGGTCATGAAACTGGTAAATACATAATTTATTATTGACATATTACTTGAGTATTGCCATTCTATAGCCTGCATTTGTTTTTGTTTTCCTTAAATTGATTTTATAAATTATTTTAATACTGTTTCTAAGAATATCAGTGTAGTGTTATTTATCTGGCACAAACAGTGATTAAAGCTTTTATTCATATAAATCAAAACCAAGTACTTGAAAACATGGATACGCTGTCCCATCAAGCAGGGACAAAAAGCTCCCTCATTGAACAGTTAAAGCCTCTTGACTCAGGAAGGCATTTTAGGACATATTTTCTCTGGAGATGCTGCCACAGCATTTTTCTGCATCCTGTCCCCAGACACTTCTGCTTTGGAAAGACAGGCGAATCAGCCTTATTGATCGCCTCATTGATCTTTCTATTCACAGCCACTTAGACTTTAAGGCCCTTATCGGCGCTATGAACACTTGTGAACCTCTGCTTCTGCTTTCAGCTCTCCACCAGCAACTAATTGACACAACCACGGAGAGCTTTCTTCACTGTATCTAAAATACGCAACCCGACACCTGCTGCCATGCTCGGATCATCAAGCTACAGAACCCTGGGCACGATGGTGCATGGGCCCTGTGCTCATGGCCAGAATGCTCTCTGGACAATCCAGCCTGCAACAGTCTGCAAGTCCCTTTATTAACTAACGATCCCCCTCTAACCACACGTAGGTGGAGCAACAATCATGGTATTAGACTGAGATAAAGCCCATCCCAAGTAATGACTGCAAATTTCATCCACTAGATGGCAAACAGGATGCATGTGATTATTAAAGAACTATTTTCCATCCTCCAGTGGGACACCTTTTTATCAGCGAAGCATCTGCAAGGTTGGCAGATGAAAGGCTGAAAACATGACCTGTACTTCACCTAGACTTGAATGTATCCATATTTTTTCTTTTGCAGCTTATCTACATTTTAGTAGCAAAACATCATATTTTCTATTCCACTGTATTCATCTGAAGTTTTTTTTTTTTTTTGTTATTTCGCAGGTTAGGAAAGATATTTCATTAAAAAAGGAAGAATAAAAAACAGTTTCAGATTTTTATCATTTTATCTTAAAAAGCAGTCTAGACAGTTTTGATGGTTATATTTAAATATCAATTTAAGGCTCACAGAGAAGCCTGTTAATATAAGCTGATTTATACTTTATAACAAGCAAGCTACAGCAAAAGATTAATTAATATATAATATATATTTATGCATCAGACTTAACAAAGCAGTGTTAATGTGTCACTCAAAGTAGCATCTGCTCTGGAAAAAAAGTGATTTTTTTTCTTTTATTAACTGGTCTGTACTGTAAGTAGGATTTTATATGAAGAACTTTCACTTGTTACAGTAGTTGTACAGTATTTTATTGATACTTCTACTTAAGTGAGCAATCTGTGTACTCGTTTTAGTTAAGTGAGAGAAAAACAGGAGGTTAAAGTCTGTTTTTGTCTTCTAAAATGGGCTCCTAATGGTCTTTTGTGACAGCTAAAGCAAAGAAGCTTCCAAGCATTTCACTACATATCATACTGTGTATGACTGTGTATGTGACAAATAAAAAATTTGAATTTGAATTTGAATTTGAACCAAAATCATGAGCACAGCTCCAGACAGAAAAGCAGCCCTGAGCTCAAAATTGCAGCACAATCGATGTTCTAATGACTCTAATTTGCATCCAGGAAGCCAGCAACTTGATTCAAATGAAGGCTCACGCCGATTCTGTGCTTCTTGAAGATGTAATGTTGAAAAGGCTTGTTTAGTCCAAAAGGGGGCGCTGCATGTTCTCATCACAGGGTTACTTCTTCAGCAAAAGGGGTCTCCAATCCTCAAAAGTCTGCACTTTGCAACACGCGGGGCTAATCTTGATTTATGGTGGCACAGTCATTTTCGTTCTAATTGGCTTTGTCTTTGTTTTTCCCAGGAGCCAAAAACAGCCACTCACACATAACACATTTGCACAATGTCTAATTACAGAGCACCTGTAATCTCTCTGAGACAGGTTAAAGATTTAACTTTCCTCTGGGTCTCCATGGACACTGCTTGTTGCCTAGTGACACAGCCAGTGCGAATGAGGGAGCTTTGGCCGTTATTGCCATTATTTAGAGGCAACTGCAAAATCCAGAAATAACTTTTATTATTGTCATTATTATAAAAGTCCTTAATGCAAGGACTAGCAAGTGACTAGAAATCTCTCTGTGCACTTATTCTTTTTTGTATTATTTTCATCAAAAGTATAACAGCATGTTTTTTGTTTTTCGGCTGCTGTCAGTAAGTGGAAAACATGCAAACATGTTTTCTGCTGACATAAGGAAACACTGCATAACACTAGCACTTTTGTATTGTTTATACTGTCCATACTAACTGTACAATGCTTGATGACTGTATGAATATATCATAATAACAACAATGAAAACAATACCAGCCTGCTGTTGTTTTGCAGGTATAAGCTTTACCATGTTGGCATTCTACCTTAAAGCTCTAGGCTTACTGTCTTAGCTGCTAATTAGCACAGACAAGTCTGGAATCAGTGTTGAACCAATCTCGGTGCTAAATCGTGCCGCATGCTAAAGAGGACGCCGATGTCTTGACATTTTTAAAAGCAATCCATCCAAACAGTTTGACATTTTTCTAATTTAAAAAAATTACAGCTGTACACAGAAATTGACTATAAAAAGGGGATGAGCTCTATTTCCTAAGGAAGTTGAGATCCTTCAACATGTGCAGCAAAATATTGGAGATCAGTCAGCTGTGGAAAGTGCAATCTGCTTAACTGTGGTCTGCTGGAGAAGCAGCATCAAAGCTGGTGACAACAACAGACTGACTAAACTGATCAGGAAGACCGACTCTGTGACTGGCTGTAAACTGGACACTTTTAAGGCTGTGGTGGTGACGAGGTCACTGAACAAACTGCTCTCCATCATGGATAGTGCTGACCACCCTCCACAGCACTTGCTGGACAGGCAGCAGCCGCACCCCTTACCTAACAGACTGATTCAGCTCAGCTGCCACGATGATAAGCAAATGCAATAATAATAATAATAATAATAATAATAATAATAATAATAATAATAATAATATATTCTCCTGTGACATAGGAATTTCCCAAAATGGGGTAAATAAAGAATATCTAATGTTAACTTATCATTTTAAATGGAGAAAAATGGTCTCTTTAAAAAATGCATTGCAAAGTCTGCTCTGCTTTCTGTGCCAGTCTGGTTGACAACAGACATTTCACTGAAATCCCAAAACTGTTCCTGTGTCTGTAACCAGACCATCACCTAAGTCAGCACTTAAATTTCAGAGAAATGGTCCAAAACTTTCAGTATTACCCACCTTGAACTGGCGCTCTTTGACAGGTTTGACGTTGACCTCTCTCCATATTTCCATGCCCTTTTCCTTCTGGTCCAGATAGTAGCCACGTACAGGGCTTCCCCCATCAGAGAACGGAGCCCTCCAGCCCAAAACCATCTCTGACCCAGTGCATAGCAGAAGGGCGATGGCAGAGGGAGCAGAAGGAACATCTGGACAAGCAGAAGGAATTGGGGAAAAAAATACATATAGATGAGAAAGTCTCAGTAGGCACTCCTTCTTGCTAAACAGACCAATAACTCTCTGACCGACAACAGCTTCTGTCCAAATTTTCAATCTCACAACTCTAGGCCTACATTAGACTTTCTCCAATGATAACGAAATAAATATTCACCTCATATTCTATTTGACAAAAATGCATTCCTCACAAAGAATTGGATTCAAGCTATTATCCCACAGGTAATGGTAGAGTAGCAGAATAGATGTGAGATTATTCTGACAGTGAGTGCCAAGCGAAATGAGTCATAACTCTACAATACTGCAGGCTGCAGAAAGCATATTATCTGAGACTGCAAGAAGGGTCAGTGGCTTTTCATGTATAGTCAGTCTCTACCGGATAAGTCATTTGGTAGAGCTTACTTGACAAAACATATAGACTGTTATGTGACAGGATCACAATTTCCGTTAGATATGATAACAAGAGCAGTGAACAGTGATGTGCTATATTAATGCAAGCTTTGATTTCTCTGCCTTCTATGTTAAATATTTTCTAAAAATGATTTTGCGCTACCTAAAATGCTGCAACTATGTGGAGGACACCAAATAACAAATGTAGGGTGAATGTTGGAAGCCTTTCATTGTCCTGCTTTACAATGCATATGCATTAACGGGGAGACTCGTGAGGCTGCAAATGAAAACTACCAGTGTGAAAAACAAAAACCCATTCTACCAAGACTGAGTGAAAGCTGAGAAAAAGAAAAAAAAAATTAAACTGCGATGGGAAGTTTACAAACACACATTATGGATAATTTGGTGTTTTAATGATTGACCAGGTCAAAGAAATCCAGAGTGGAGTGTTTTCACAGCGTACAACTTTAATAACTGAGGGCAGAAGTTTGAATTTGTTTTGGGTTTTCTATACTCCACACATGGTCAAAATTATACATAGAGGCTGAAAAATATACATACATTCACTTAAATCTTTTAATAAGTGGTGCTGAAGGTTCTACGGTGTCTTTTTAAATGACAATACAAAGGTCGATTAACTTCTCGTAAGTGAGTTAGTCTTGATTGACTTCAGCTGGCAGTTTCTCTTTTCTAGCATTGAAAATGATTTATTAGACGGCACTTATTCGATTGACCGATGAGATCCATGGGAAAATCTGAGGATTTCAGTGAAGATCTAAGCAGAATTGCAGATTTAAACAAGTTGTGAAGGAGCCATTTGTAAACAACTGCAACAGATTCTAAGATTATCAGTAAAAACAACTGTTTTCAGAAATCTGTTCAGAAAACAACAACTCATTTGGATGAACCATCACTTTACTTGGAAGAAGACTCAAACGGTCACCTTCAGATGACAGGAAACTGATTGGGATGTTCAAGACAACCCAGGAACCACAGAGTCTCAAGCCACTGGAGCTGGCACTGCTGGAGGTCTACATCACCATGGAGAGGATGTTGACTAAGACAGAAACCCCTACTCTAAAATCAACACTTTTAAGATCAACTGAAATGTGTAGCTGCCCTTAGGCTAACTTTATACTTCACTAATGGCCTTCTCAAAACCCTGGCCTCAACCTTATTAAAAATTTGTGAACTCCACTTAAAAACCAAGAACTCCACCAATTCTGCCAAGAAGAGTGGTCAAATATCCAGGTTGAATTATGTCAGATCTTAAAAGAAATCATTAAAATCTCAAATTTTTATGACATTCATGCCTATGATTAGCATATGCATACCACAACTGTATACCAAAGAAACCCCTGAACATACTCAGCACTCACTGCCATTTAAATATTATAATATAGTGTAAGTGCTCTGAGTTAGAGCACTTAATAACAGAATTACAAAATATTTACAAAATATTTAGTATTTTATGTTTTTGTCTGGCAGGCATGCTTACAAATGGCTGATTTGACCATGATGGGTTGAGACTCGTCTGAATAGCTGCTGTTTCCTGCTCGGCTCACACACTTTACTCTAAACACGTAGTCCTTCCAAGTCTTGAGGCCATGGACTGTAAACCTGAGGAGAGATTATGTTCAAATCACATATATTGTAGTTCTGCATTTTCTATGATATTCATTTCTATTTCTTTTTGACTTTATGTTTTTAATTCCGTTCATTTCCAGAGTTGATTTGCTGATTTCAGTTAGCTTTTGCAGTTTGAACATACGTAGTTGAAGTCTAATTTCAGTGTAGTTTTAGTCTTTTTAAGTATTAATGTCAGGTGGGCCAGAGGCAGGATTTAGAACAATTACTATAGATGTAAAATGAAAAGAAAGAACTTTTTGAAAGCAGTCTCTTAGGTGTCTAAAGCCTCAATAAATATTCCCATCAAAAGCTCACCAGACAAGCTGTCATAACAAATTATACCAATACTAAAAGTAAGACTAAAGAAATCTGAAAGTAATATTGATGTTATTTTCAGTTTTTCTGCTAAATTAAAGAAACATATCTGTTTACACTTAAAAAGTTTGTGTTTTATTTGAATTTAATTCAATTTCTTTTTATATCTACTGTGAGTTTTAATATTAGTTTTTGTTAACTATAATAACCTTTATTTATCATGCATATCACTTACAATGATCTGGAAATGGCCTATGAAATTAGATCATTTCAGCTGTCACTATAACTTAATTTTATTCATACTAACATTTTACCCACATACCTGTTTTTAGCAAAGGGCTTGTTGTTAACTGTCTTCCAGTTGTGTTTGCCAGCTTCGCTGTAGTACAGATAATATCCCAGAATGCCGTTTTTGTCTTCGGGCTCTTGCCACTGCAGCAGCACAGAGGTGTCTGTGTCTCTAATTGCCATGACAGAGTGAGGTGGAGCTGGCACGGCTGGTGGGAATCAGATAATAAACAAAAAAAATATCAACTAAAACCACGAAACTTAAAATGGTAAAAGGAAAACTGACTACAAGATAGAAAACACCTATTTTTCTGTCAATAATCTCCCCAGGAGTTGGCCCACAGTAGAGCTTGAAGATTGTAACTTTGTTGTTTTCTATACTGAAATAATCTAGAGTAGCATTACAATTCAAGGACTCTATCATTGCTTCCCTGTCTTGTTTGTCTTGTGCATACACACATGCACTCACACACACCTACACTTGATCTACAGGTCCTAGAAATGCCTGTGTGGGCTCTCTCTGGGTGATTCTAACACTGGCCAAAGACGTGATCATGAATGGTTGTCTCTCCTTATCTCTCTGATAACCAACCTGTCGAGAGCGTACCCTGCCTCTTGCCCCATGTCAGCTGGGATAAGCTACCACACAACCCTGAACTGGATAAGAGGTAGGAGATGGAAGGACTTATTATAATTTAACTACTGGTTTCATAATATAATACTGGCACCACTGGTGTTTAGACTGGTTCTAAACCTTGCTTTCACCATGCAGCTTTCTGCCACTGGGTATGAAATCTTCTGAGAAAATGAAAAATCACTGTGCAACCAAAAAAGGAAGATGACTTTTGTTTTTCCCAGTAGCTACTGGCAGTTTTCTGGACATAAAACACTGGATTCTATAGGGTGCATAGCAATAACTGTAAAAAAATCTACCCTTAAAAGGAAAGAAAACACACTACTGGTATATAAGGCAGAGAAATATTATTTTACGTGGACTTACAATATCATTACTTTTTACTGCTACAGTTACATATCACATATTCTTAACAAGTGATATCTGCCCAGCCAACCCTGGTTGGTGTTTCTGGGGCAAGTCTGCCAAAAAGTAAATGAATAGACTCATCATATATTCATATATAGGTACAATATAAAATTATACCTATTGTTGTGCATCGAGATATTCACATTCTGATTTTCAGACATGTAGAGGACCCCTTTTCTCTGTCACAGTCAATTTTGGGAGCGTACATTATTGAATCACATAAGTTCACGTGGAGCGTCTCCTATTTCGCTTGGATATGTTTTGTACTTTTTTATTTATGGGTTGTTCCAAAACATCTGCCACTTTGCAATGAAATGTTTTTTTTATACAATAATCCATTTCATATGTGGGAAACCTTAGAGGTTATCAAAAACATCACTTTGCTTTGTTCTACCTCCACTGGGGGTACCTCCAAATTTTGGGAACATTCCACTGAACTAAATATTTTAAGAGGAAGAAAATGCACTCAACACATTTGTTAGAGCACAAGGGTACATACAAAGTTGTTCAGAACCACTTACTGAAAACTTTACTTTTTTTTTGCAAGAAACTTTCACGAATTCTATGAACCAAGCACTGAAGGATTGTTTTTTGTTTTATAGAAAATGATTGAAAATAAAAACCTTAGCACTAATTTTAGTTTTTTTCTGTTAAAATATAAAAGTACTGCATGGCCATGTTTCAGTATTGTTGTTTTGCTTGTTTGTGCTGTTTTGGTGAATTGATACATTTAATGCTAAAAATAGGTCATTTTAGATCATTGGTAGGCATGTATGTTTCAGATTTCGTGGCTATAAAGAAGGTATTATTGTCATAAAATTAAAACAATAGGTGCTATTGGTCCATAAACTGTGAAAACATGTGAATTTAGCCCATTGCTAA